CGGTTCCTGTTGCCTACAAATAGAGACTTATCAGAGTGGAGCTGCTGAGGTCGTCAACAATAGACTCTCAGTGAGACACCGTCAGTCCACACTACAGTGAATGGACCAGCAGTCAGGGACACCAGTGGGCGGAGCACCAGCTCCTGGACCGTGGTATTATGATGGTGTTAGTTAGTCAACTTTAACGTTAGCGTCGCTGACGGTAAATTCTCAGGGACAAGAGTTGAAAAAAGTGAAATCTTGTTGACGTTCGTCGGTGGATTAGATCGATCCTGAACGGTTGTTTGGTCCTGCCCTGGACTAGGAAACTGCCCCTGGGGTTACCAGGTGTGACTGCCCCCTGTCTAAACGACAAACCTTTTCTACGATACTTTAAATATTGAAATCTCATTATAGTCTTATCATCTCCATTTATCTTGATCTTGATTTTCCAATCCTTCATTTTCATCCTTTCGTGTTGGTGAAACTAAAACGTAAAAACAAAACTGGACACACACTAATTTGGAGTTGAACACACGACCCTCCAGGTGTAAGACAACTGCGCCACCTACTGAACGACAACGTAAGTCCTGATCTTTAACCACAGGTTTGAGATGAAGAATCGTCTACAGTAGGTTAACCTGAAAAACAACGTCAGGTCGTTGTCTCCGTCCCAAACTTGAACCTTTGTGCGGAAACTTTCACACATCGTCCCAACACGGCAGCGTGTAATTACCCCCTCCCTGTAATACCTGCAAATACTGCACAGAACAGGCAGCATTTGTTGAAACCGAGTCGCTCTAAAGAATGATTCAACGTCCTGTGGAAGGAGACGCAGTGCCAGACAGCGCCCTGCGGGGGGGGCTCCTCTCTGTCCTGCTCGGGCAAGCAGAAACAGCTCAGCTGTCACTCTGAATGAGAGACATTCCATAACACCGGGGGAGACGTAGCCTGTGGTGTTGAAACAAACGTTACAGTAGAGCACGGTGGCGGAGGGCTGAACTGCACCCCACGCCCCACGGCACCGGCAACAAACGCTGCCATGTCTTAAAGAAACGTTATTTCCTCAGAAAACATCACATTGGAGCAGGTTGTTGTTGTTGTTAATGACTGCCGACTGCGGGGGTCTTCAATGTCCCCCAGGCAGAAGACCTCCACCTGATGGGGCAGTGACCCCCCCCTCCATGTTACCATAAAAGACTGGGTTTAAAACTGTATAAACTGGTTGATAATAATTTGAGATTTAATCTGATTAAAAATAGTATAGTTTAAATAGTGAAAAAATTTACTCCTGTTTAGTTGAAGACAACGATGCTATACTGGCAGGAATTGAAGAAAGACACAAAGATCTTCTTCAACAGCTTTGATTATCTTTTTTTTTTTTAGTTTTCATAGCCATCTGCTGCCACCTAGCAGAAGAGTAATTAATTGCTCTGCCAATCACGCATTGACGAACAAAGATTTTTTTTTGCAATAAATAAATAACAGTTTTCCCGGGTGCCACGGCCCAGTGGTTGGGAATCAATATAGACACAAATATAAATTGAGTTTAAAAAAAAATGTTGGAATCACTAGAGAAGAAATAAAACATCGGTGATACTGGCTGGTACTGCAGTACTACTAACTCTACACTAGGACAATATTCCGTGGACAGGCTGAGATAAAATACTCACAGTCTGACATTTAGAACTTATGTGGTTGCTTCATTGCTGCTTTGTGAGTTTATTAGCCTCTATTAAAGCCTGTAGGGGGCAGATGTTTAGAGGGAGGGCAGATCATTTCCACCCCCGGGGACACAGGTCTGCACCGCAGGTTTACATGCTGCACTGATGACTTCACCTCCATCACTCTGAACCAGTCAGTGGTTGCTGAAACTGTGGAGAAACAGCGCCCTCTGACGTCCAGCACAGGTGCTGTGACGTCACTGACCTCAGCTCTTTATAGCAAACACTGAAAAGTCATATAATCCGGGGACTATCTCAGAATCACAACAGATGAAATGACCCCGCCCCCCCACCTCTGTGACCCCCACCACCACAGGACAAAAACAACACCTGACCAAGCAGGTGGCGCTCTCCCAGCAACAACACAACTGTGGAAAATCAAACACAGTGTCCATGAGCAAACAACCCCCGGTGGTGAATAATGGAATTTCCCCATTCTTCTTTTTGAGAGTTGTGTTCAATGGGATTAAACGGTTCACCTCTCACTGACCGAGGTGTGAATGTGAGTGTGAATGTGAGTGTGAATGTGAGTGTGAATGATGCTCAGTCACTGAGCAGGTCGTTAGAACTGATCAGAACTGATTTTTCCATTATTAGGTTGTATTGCCTTTT